CTGAAGAACAGTTAGGGCCCCCCCCCCCCGACCCCCCCCACAGAAGCTCCTTTCAAATGCTCTTTAGTGATGGAACGATAACGCAACAAAGCTCTTTGAGCTTCACTCCATTTAAAAATGAACGCCTCTCTCTACACAGAGTTTGACTTTCATGATGCCCAAAATGTTTCGTTTCATTTCATTTGATTATTTATTTTAGACAGGTAAAGTTAAGAGGCAGGTGCTCAAACATAAATAAATATATTAATCTGCAATTAAAAGCTGGTACGTGATCTTCCCTGTATTTACCACAACACCGTTGTTCAAATATTTCAGAATAAAAGCCTGTGCGTTAACAGACAAATTCAGGAAAGCAGGAAGTCTTGAAAATGAGTAAGGATTTTTTCGTTGTTTTTGATGTCTGGGGTCACGTGAAGACGTCTCTGTGGGAATGTTGCTGGTTTGATGTCAATGTTCTGTGGAAAGAGAAACCGCTGCACGCCACTTAAATCCCACATCCTTTGTGCAGAGTTTTGTTGTCGTCAAAAGGCAACTTGTCGTCGTTGTGCGTAGGGTGAGAGGGGGGGAATAATCATTATTATAAACTAGTAGGGGATCCAATCTTTCTCTAATATCTTTAATATCTAATATCTTTATCTTTAAATTGACACCAATGACTCAATTATAGTTTCGTACTTTAATGTCAAATATGTTTGGTTCTTTCTGAGTGATTCATGTACATGTTGTTTTTTGGCAGAAGGGGGGAGGGGTCTGACTACAGGAAACACACACACACACACACACACACACACACACACACACACACACACGCACACACACACACACGAGGAGATCTGATCAAACGTGGCTTCGTCCATTTTCTTTATGTGAAAAGTACCTTGAAATCGGAGTCAAGATAAACAACATTCAGATCTTCCCTGTAAGAGTTTTCCCCCCTTAAAATAATGAGCACACAGAAAAGCAGTAAGAGAAACCATCCAGGCATTGAACCCTCCTGGTTTTGTGCTGTGACGGAACTGTGGACGTGATCATTGTGTTTGGAATAATAAAATTAACACATCCTACCTGCTAAGGTTCACGTGTGTTCAGGTGTAGGAACAAAAGCAACGTGAGATTTCTCCCCTTACCTTACTAGTGCAATATCAATGTCAATATAGACATATAATATTTCCTATTAATATGCACAATAAAGTGCATCTGCCTATTCAGTCTCATTGGTCTCGTTTGGTTTTCATTGTTTTTTTACGGTTTAATTATTTATCAGACATTCAAACTTTACGGAAACTTGAACCAGAAGCATCCAAACCTTTAGATCACAGGACAACAACATTCACATGTAAACTGCAACTGGACCAGCTGGTAATTCCAGGTTCCAACTCGTGCAAACCGAGAATATACAAAAGTAAAAGTTGCACCTTGAACAAAGGATCACACAAACTACCAAAGCCCGGATGCATCGAGGCATCGCAGCGGGGTGTTTGTGGGAGAGCTGCTTCAATCATTTAGCTAAAGTTTAAGGTAGTAAAGTGGTGAAATCAAGGCCAATTACAAATAAAAAAAGGGCACGAGCTGCATGTGGACGTGCTCAAGCACACTCAAGGCTTTGTAGCATGTGGCTGCCCGACATTTACAAAATGGCTCGGAATAAATCACTCACACATAATGAGTGGGTCTAACGATGTATTTCAGATGAAGACCCGTCCTCGTATCAACAAGTCAGATTTTTTTTTTCTCACGATTTTATCTCAAGAAAGTCTACACGAGATAAGAGAAAAGTCTTATGGAACCAGGCCTTTTGTTTTTGGATGAGTTGATATCACGCTTCAACCAAGTATACTGTGGTTTACTATGAAGGGGATTTTCAAAATATAAGTCTCTGATATTCTTTTTTAAAGGTCAAAATACATTGGATGAATAAATGTTTTGAAAAAAAATTAAATGTGGTTAAGTTAAATGTAAAAAGTAAAAGAAAGGTCAGATTTCTTTTAATAAAATTCCCAAAACGTCAGGTCAAAAATGTCATGGAAAAAAAGTAGAAAAATATTATGGAAAAAAAATGTTAAAATGTGTTGGAAAATGCAAAATATATTAGATTGAAATAAATAGTGAAAAACAAGTCAAAAAATGTTTAGAGTAAAAAGTCTAGATTTGTTATGTTGAATAATTCAAAAAAGTCAGTAAATATAAGTTCAGACAATATTTAGAAAAAAAGACCAAATATATTACATCAAAAAATAATGTAAATGTTAGGTCTAGAAATCATGGAAATAAGTGAAAAAAGAAAATCTGTCAAAAAAAAAAATTGGTCGATTTCTTCATGGACCTTTAAAAAAAAAAGACAATTAAAAAAAAAAAGTATGTTGAAAAAAGGCATTTCACCCCCCCAGCAGGCATATCACTGCAACCTTTTGAATCTAGAATCAGGCAAGTTGAGGGAGAGACGGTGAACTACTACAAGCCGCTGAGACTCACAAATCAATGAACACACAGGGTTGCCACACATGGGTTTTTCAAAGAGACTTTTCATTGATGTTTGCTCACATTATTCATGAGGAGGAAGTATCCAGGGCAGCTATTCGGAGGTCAGCTGCAGTACAAAGAAAACAACCGTGTCTTCTAGTCAATAATGGAAAAACAAGCCCGAGTCGATATTTTAAAGAAAGCCACGTCTGCGTAACGAGCAATGAAGTCCTTCTGCTTCCAAACTGCAAGATGATGCAGTTTGTTTAGGAGGGAAACGCTTCGTGCAGGAGCCTTCGTAAACAATCGTTCATATTCAAGCTGACCATAGAGAGCATTAACATCTCTTGTGTTCGGTATTCCTACCTGTGCCTTCCAGAACACTCGCACTGGGCTTTTCCAGTCACTTTGCTAGCTCTAGCACAAGGCTAACGTGCTGCATTTACAAGTAACCAATTTACGACAAACATCCCCGTTGGGTTTGGACACAAAAACCAGCTGCTGATTGAAAGGGATTAACAAGGTCCGGCGCTGCTGTGAGTGTTTGAGTCTGTTCACACTGACTTGTTTAGAGCCAACAGCAGAATCCCGTTTTCTGATGCTGTGTGTTTGTTGGTTTGGAAACGTCCCCGCTCACCTCTTGAACTGAGGGTCCGTTCTGCTGAGGCCGAAGCCAGAGTCCCCGCTCGGCTCGCAGCAGCTGTTGTGAATATAAAGCCGAGAGTCGGCGCGCATCCGTCCCTGGCCGGCTTCATTTGGCATGCAAAATACAAATGAGTTATACGAAACCAGCGCTGGCAGGGCTCGAGTACAGCTGCAGAGCCAAGCGACAAAGTCAAACCAAAAACAGACAATTTACCGAAGCCTCATTAAACCAACAGCAAGTTGTTTTTTTATAATAAAAGTTAGAGATAAAGTTGCATATAATGACATTTGAACACAATCACATAACGTGTGCTTGATTCCTGTGATAGCGTGTTTGGGAATATGTGCTGTAGTTACTGGAGCATCGGTCATAATACTTATTAATAAATGTTATTAACATTTAATATTTGATTCCCAAACCAAGGAGTTATTCCTAGAAGCTGCATGGTGCCGACTCACAAACACTCCGACACCGGCCCGGAGCGTCCGTCAGTGACCCGCTGAGCGAATGTTTCCAGTCGTCCGCCGTCAGCTCCGCTACAAACAGCCGCAGAGCCTCTGATGTCTGCGCTTGAGAACAAGCACAGCGGCGTGAGCCGGGATATTAACCACGATGCTGCTGATGAAGAACACGGCGGTGTCTCTGCAGAAGCGAGATGTTTACACACGTATTGTGTGTGGAGAGAGAAAAATGCCTTATTCTCACCCAGCTTTTATTATATTGGGTGGTGGTTTTCAAATGATGGATGAGTGTGAAGTCATTGTGCCACATATACAAAAAAACAAATCCGCACAAAGGCTGGAAGTGGGAAAAAAAAACACACGGACCAAGATGTATTTCTCTTATTTAAATGTGATTTAGTATTTGTGCTGACAAGCTGTCTCCGGTGTTCACAGACATCTTCAACGCCTCCCTGGAGACCATGTACCAGTCCGCCACCATCATCCCAGTTCCAAGGAGCCCAGGATCACAGGACTCAATGACTAAAGGCCCGTCGCACTGACCTCTGTAGCCACGAAGTCTTTTGAACGGCTGGTCCTGACCCACCTGAAGACCCTCCTGGACCCCCTGCAGTTCGCCTACAGAGCCAACAGGTCTGTAGGTGACGCTGTCAACACGGCCCTCCACTACATCCTCCAGCGTCTGGACTCCCCAGGAACCAACGCCAGGATCCCGATGGTGGACTTCAGCTCTGCTTTCATCACCATCGTTCCGTTTTCTGGGCTCCGTCATCACGCAGGACCACAAGTGGGAGCTGAACACCAGATTCATCCCCAAGAAGGCTCAGCAGAGGCTGAAGAAATTCAACCTGCCAACTTTTATTTTTAATTAAAATTCCTTCTTATCCTTTAATTTGAAATGGTCTATTCTATACCCCCCAACCCCATAGCCTTATATTTGATTCCATAGAGTTAAATTGTAAATTTGTAAATTGAACATGCCATTTTGTTGTGTTGTGTTGTGTTATGTCTTGTTGTCCATTGTCTTACTGTCTGATGCTACGCACCAACCAACATGTCAAACTCCTTGTATGTCGAACATATTTAGGTAATAAATCTTCCTGATTCCTGATATAAAATAACAAATGACTATAAACATGTTGCCATGAATGACTATAAATCAAATAATTTATGTTTTTGATTTCACGGGCCTCCTTTTCAGGAACGATTTGTTTCCAGATGTTTGATTGCTCACTTCAACTGCATGTTGAATGATCCTGTTTATACAATCTTTATACCAAAAAAACCCAATTTAAAGGGAAAACTGCCAACTTCACTAGGTTTTATTTCCATTTGAATAATCACACACCCGGTGGGAGACTTTCAATTGACTTGCAGTGACGGTGCCGGACCTCCCGTCCGTGACCACCGGACATCGTCACATGACGAACCAGCTGATGGGCCCCGACCTGCAGGGGGGGTTCTGCTGAAGGACTCTGGCAGAGCCTTCAAGTCCTCCTCCACGATCGAGGTACCTTTCCTTGGCAATCTCTCTCTCTCTCCCTCTCTCTCTCCCTCCCTCTCTCTCTCTCGGAGTCTCCCCCCTCACTCCCCTCCTTCTCTCTCACTCTGCAGTGCAGCCGAGCCGAGAGTGTAGCCTCCGCTGTCATCGCCGTGGAGACGGGCGGATGCTGCTTTCCTGCAGAAGCAGGAGTGAACGTTCAGGCAGGCGTCTGGGAGGTGTGAGGGCGTGGAGGTGGAGTCCAAGAGGAGAGGCCGGTTTGTCCCTCTCCTCGTCCCGGTCGGGGGCTTTTTTCGGCATCACCCTTCACCATGGAGCTCTGGAGCGGAAAGGTCTGGGGAATTATAGCGCGGGTCACCCTGATACTGCTCGGCTGGAGCGGGGCGGCCAGAGGAGGTGAGTTTCACTCGCGTTCATCTCAAATGAGCTGTTTCTGTCTCTCTCTTTGGAGGAACTTTAGTTGTGCATTTTGTAATTCAATGAATGCAACAGAGACTCTAAAAAAGGGAATTCAGTGATTTCTGATGTATTTTCTTACATTCAACACACTGATTTCAGAGCAAACATGTGGCTGCTCAATGAGAAACACTTTCCTCTCACTCACACCTACTAAACTGTTGCCCTTAAGCAAGGCACGCCAGTCTCAAGGCTCCAGCGGAGCTGCACCGACTGAAGGAAGTCTGTAGTTAAACTTTTGTTTTTAATTTTAAATACATATAATGTTGTTAGTTTGGTCCTACGGAGCAAAATAAATCAGTTTTGTTGAAAGGGACACAAATAATCAGCAAGAGGTTCACTGTTTTTTGTTTTCTGTGATTTTGTTTGATATCTTTTGGATGTTCCCTCCAGAAACTTCAGAATTTGACTGTAGAGCAAAGAAAGCTGCGTAGAATTAATGCTTCTTTCGTAAGTTGCCTTTCTGAAAAAATACAAAATAAACCCTCCAAAACGTCACAAACTTTCCTAGTATGATTCCTACGCTGTGCTGATCCGATGGGTATTAGAACGTTTAAGATTCATTACACATGTGAGCCGCTGAGGGATGGAGTGTGACCGCGGTGGGGACGTATGATATTATCACAGATATGTACAGATATCATCACCTCACCTTCCTACGGGCTGTGAAAGAGTAACATTGGCAGATGAGGAGCTTTCTTTCTCTGTGGAAATCGATCGAGTACTGAAACCCTCCTCAGAGAGGAGACATGCAGAACATCATGGTCCACCGTGGAGTCTGTGATGCTCTCTGGCTCCTGTCGGACTTTGTGTTAGCGCTGAAGCAGCGCCGCAGGCTACGTGTGACTCAAGCTATTAGAGTGAACAAGGGAGGTGAGACACCATGAGAGGCCAGGCGTCATCACTGGATTTATAACACATTTTTGTTTTTGGTGACATGTATGGTATGATATTTATAAGGACATGTATGTATCTTATAAATATGTACACTGAATATATGTAACGGGTCACACAGGCCGGTTGACGCCTGGTTCTCGCTCCTCTCACTGCTCCAGGAGCTCTGAGCTCCGATGGGTTCACATGGCCGTTGTAAACACACATCATCTGCTCAGGGAAAGGTCCTCGGGGGGCCGCCGTGTCCGATGGACGAAACTCACACTTCCACCAGTTCTCCGTCTTATCTCTCAGTCTCGGCTGATCTGGAGTCAGTGGAGCGTCGGTTCTAATCACGGCCTCTAATGTCAGATTACGCCGCCCGTGTGCGTTTGCGTGTGCGTGTTCAGATAACGGAGGACTTACCACTCGCAGTGTCACCGACACACGTGACGCCACATGACAACTTCAAAATGATCCACAGTTGAGAGCATTCATTTCACACTTTTTTTTCAGGCTTTTGGGGTTTGATCACTCAGGTGATAAACGTGACAACTAGAAACTCCACTTCAATGACGACAGTCACCGAAAGAATCCTTCCGTTGTGTGTCCAAACCATCCGTCCCCACCGCCAGGGGTCCTAGAGGCAGACGGATGGATGCTGGTTCCCTCTGAGGCCTCCCCAGTGGTCCTCATCTCCACGCACAAAGCTTTGTCTCTTAGATAAAGTCCCTTTGCTCTGCTGCACGAGCACTAGTGACATTATTTAAAAATACTCTGTTCTTTTAAACAGTTGGACAAAGACAAACTCGCCAGGTTTTAATCCGACGGCAGACGTGTCACGGTGGTCAGTTAGTTATTCGCGCATCATTTTATTTTTTGCATTTTGTTTATTTATACATAAATGGTTTTATACTTCTATCTGCACGGACTTCTTTGCATACTAATGTGCTTTACGGTCCATTTCCTCACTGTCTGTGAATGGACCTTCAGGCAAAAGCCTTTTTCTAAACAGATATCTGCATTTATTTTTACTTAATGTGCTTTGATTCTTGAGGGCAACGCAGACATGTGAATATAATCAAATTAGTGTACATTTCTTCCCAGAAAAAAGGAAATCCTCTGCTGCTCTGCATTATTCATGAGACGCTGGTGTTTGTCACGGCGAGGAGAAGCTTCCTCTCGTATTTCCTCTTTTGTGTCATTTATGAAAATGCGCGTTCGGGGAAGGGGAGCCGTGAAGACGAGGGAGTCGAGGCGGCGTCGAGTCAGTCAGTCCGCGATCAGGATTTATCAACCCGGGGACACGCAGTTGAGTGATAAAGCCGAGTCCTGCAGTCCATCCGTCTGAGTTTGTGACCCACTGATATGTTGCTGAAGGCCATTCCCACTGGAGCTCCCGCTCCCCAAACCCACACTCATTCATCACACCCCGAGCCGTCGCCGCACGCACGGTCCGAGAGGCCGTGGAACGCCGACTCCCCGGAAGCAACACGGGTGTAGGCGGGTGTAGTTCAGCAGGCGAGTGGTGGAGGAAAGCTGAGCCTGTGGGAGAGCATGGCTTTAGAATCCAAACAGGCTACAGGAAGGCTGAGATAGATCTGACCTTTGACCTCAGCATGAAAAACGTTAAATGATGTCATAAATCTTTTCGAGAGAGAAACACAATGATGTTGATGAAATGATGATGCCAAAGAAGACGATGATGATGATGAAGGAGAAGCAGATGGGGTAGGTCATGAAGAGGAATATGGTGATTAAGAAGATAAAGCTACAGAAGAAAAATAATAGTAATGAGGAAGATTATGAAAGATTTAAAGATATGAGAGAATTTGACGAATGTTATTCTGAAGACGACACTGATGAAGAGAGGAGAGCAAAAGAGAGTGAGTGGGGTGAACAAAGATGATGAAGATGACGGTGAAAGGATGATAATAAGATAAGAAGGTAATGTTGTGATTCAAGGTGTTTCCCTTGTCAATCATTAAAAGTGTTATTTCAGTTAACACAAACTACCAAGATTCTTAAAGCTGCATTCTCTGTAGTGACCAGCAGGGGGCGACTCTGGTCCCATAGACGTCTATGAGAAAATCACTGTACTTCTCTCTTGTTTTATTCCCTCAGTAAACATTGTAAACATGAGTTTATGGTCTCAATCTCTAGTTTCAAGTCTTCTTCAATACAGCATGAGGTTTATTTAGTAGATTATGGTCCATTTAATGTCAAACAGACCATAAAGTAGGGGAAGTTTTAGATCGGAGCTACATGCTAATTGACACTTTTCCTCATGAGAAGTTCAATCACTGCCATTTATACTTCTGTTATATGATTGAACCACTGCTGTTCTTGAGCTCAGACCAAACTATTGTCTGTTGCTCGACGTGTCACACACTGCCACTCAGAGCCAGAATGTGAGCTTAGAGAATCCGTACACTAATCTATCGTTTGGTAGAATCTATTTCCCCGGCCACGATTCAAAGGACACACGTAGTTACTGCAGCTGACTCCGTATTGCTTCAGACTGCGGGCCGCCGTCGGCCTGCCCTCTCACTCAGATCAGCTGCAGTGCATTAAAACGTTACTGGTGGTGGAGGCGGCGGCTGACATTGAACACAGCAGGACCAAAGCCGAGTGGAAGCCACGGCTTTAAGATGCAACGCAGATGAGGTGTCTGGCGAGCAATTCAATGACCCATTTAATGAGATGGAAGAGGTATAAAGGAGAGGGAAACCTGCAGTTCCCTCCAACATTCCTGCAACTTTCTCCCATCGTGATCTCATTTTTACAGTGTTGCAGGTCAGATGTGTCGGATCTGACAAATCTACAGGATGCAACTAAAATCAGGTTCATTTAGTGGTATTATATCTCATTTAAAAAGAAAATCCAGTTGTGTCTTTCCTCTTTTTTTGTGCAGAAATGTGCCATGTTATGAGCAAAGGTCCACAGTTTGAAGTAAACAAAGAATATAATATTGCCAGAGGTGTTGTCACAAAAATGTGTGGCGATGTAACACACACAGACCGTGTGATTCTGTGAAGAAAAGAGGTGGCTGGAGGAAGCTATTTTAGTGGAGTAAAGTTTTGACCCCAATTGGCCAGAGGGGACCGATTACAAGAGAGATCGGCCACAATTACTCCATCCGGCCTCGGAGGCTTTCGGGTCTTGCGGGGGCGGCAGATGGCAGCCAATCACCTTCCTCGTAGAGTGAATGAAATGCCTCAAAATGAAATGGTACAAAAGCATCTTGAAGAGCACAGGGAGCGAAGGCTCTGCTGAAAGGACCAAACCGGACCCAACCAGAGTCAATCGGACCAAACCAGACTCAACTGGACCCAACCAGACCAAACCGGACCCAACCAGAGTCAATCGGTCCAAACCAGACTCAACTGGACCCAACCAGACCAAACCGGACCCAACCAGAGTCAATCGGTCCAAACCAGACCAGACCAAACCAGACCCAACCGGACCAAAGAGACCTAACCAGGCCCAACCGGACCCAACCCGACCCAACGGGACAGGGTTGAGTGTTCCAGCGGAACATTACTCAACAATCTTGGTGTCACATTTAATTTCTGAGTCCTTCACAAGAGGAAATGTTTGCGAACACAAAGCAGCTGAATGGAAAAGCCCGAAGCTGCTCGTCTGCCCAAATGGTAAAAAGTGAAATGTGTACATAATGGGAAAGAGATCCCTGCTGTGAAAACAAATAATCACATTCAAGCTTTTTTCTATCATTAGCCAACAGCTAGCAGCTACTTTAAGACATGTGCTCTTGGAGTTGATGATGATGATGATGAAAATAATGAATATTGAACAGTGGAAAAAAAATAAACGCTTTAGCTGATGCACAGATGACTTTTTCTTCTATGCACACATGAAAAGCCTTGTGCAAGAGCACAATGTCACTTATATTCTTCCCAGCCAGCCAAGCGATTATTCATGTTAGTAACTTTTTCTTCACGAACCAGATTCGGTCACCTTTTCAACACCGCCGATGAGGGTGTTTGTGTAGACGAGATGAAGGTTAAACCTGCGAGACTCAGAGAATAAAAGGATCTGCAGCCGAGTTCTGCGCCTCGGAGGATCAAAAGTGAAGAATAGTCTATAAAGTAAACTGTAATACATATATATATATATATATATATATATATATATATATATATATATATATTTCATGAGCTGATATTAACAGCAGAGAAAGGTGTTTCTCAAACAACTCTAAGTAAAGAGGGAATGTATTGAAGTAATCACAGCTCTCTGGGTCAAAGTGATCACAATCAGGGGATGATTTCAAAATAATTAAACAGACAGCTCGGCGATTTATATTCACCGTCAGGATTTGAATGTACACGCAGCACCAGCATCAAGAACCTGGCTGGAAGCCGCCGGCTTACCCCGAGGTTTTACGGGAGTAACGTGGAAAAAGGTTTTGACCATGTTGTTAGTATGTATGAAAACTGTGAGGGAACTTATACACTACAGCATTTGTTTGCTGTGCCCCTTATCGATCCACGTGGGGCGGGTTGATCACTGTAACCTTTGTCACATGAGTCGTTTCCACTGTAAAGTCTAAATGAAATGGTTTTGATGTTGCTGGCGTGACATTTGCATTGAACAGCTGCGTTAAAAGGTGTGTTTGTGAGGAGGAGAGCAGTCTGCAGCAAACTTTAGTGAGTCCATAAACTAGTGATGGACTAGAAGAGTCCTTTTCCAAGATGCTGCTCGTGCTTTCGATGCCCTTGTCCTAAATTAGATGCGAGTCCACGGAGGACACGCATCGGTGAACATCAACAGAAAAGACTTTTCCAGCCTTAAAGTTCTCCGGCATAGAGGAGGTCAGCCCCCCCACCCGGGGAGAAGACTACAAACGCTTTCTGCTCAGAGCAGCAGCCGTGTGTATTTTTAATCTGTGTACAGTCGCACACGTCAAGAGGGACATAATCAAGAAACTGAGTTTGGATGGTTTTTTACGCTTGCTCGGCCAAGAAGGCAGCGCATTTAAACCTCAACCTCAACATAACATTTTGTTAAAATGCAGGTAATGTTAAAGACATACGAAACACATTAAAGCATGCTAAAAGTGTTTGGTATTTTTTAGATATTGTTACACTTTGTGTTGTTTGAAACTGGTTGTAGAGTTATTTTTCACACTGACCTGCGTGCGAAGGAACAGAGGAATACAGGACTGCATCATCAGATTGAATATGTTCCATTCCATCTGGCCACAGATGTTATTAACATGTAATAGCAAAAGTAGAGGGCCCAAAATAGACCCTTGTGGAACTCCCCCACAAGATCTGAAACAACTTGGCACATTGCATTTGACCTCCTAAATAACTCACACTGGTGCAACGTCTGCAGACTGCATATTATTCAGACTAAAAAGGGAAAGAATTGACAGGTTTCCACAAAACAACATTGTATGCCTCGTCGATGTGCTGCTTCTGCATTCGTACTGTGCGTGTTTGCATGAGTGCATCCACACCTTGTGCAGCATGTGTACCGTGTAATTTGCACTGGATGAGCTGGAGATGAAGGGCTGGAGTCGTCCTCCGCCTCCGGACCGAGGCTGTTAATGCTCACAGCTCCGTAGCCGTTTGACGGACAGGCTCCTTTGCTTCAGTCGGCGAGAAGTGCAGGGAGGAAGTCAGAGAGGTCCGAGCGGCAAAAGAAACACAAAACAAGACCAGTCTGATGAAGTGCAGCCTGACAAAATCAAACCAAGTCAAATTAGTGCCCCGTCAGCCGAGTGACCTCAGTCAAAGTGGTGCAGAATACTCTTTTTATTACTATCCACATTTCGTGATCCCTCTTCTATTTCCAAACTAGAATAAACCCTCTGGGTTTGTGTGTCTGCGCAAACCGGCCAAGTTGTAACCGTGGTGTGTGTATAAGGAAAGTGGACGAATCCCTGTGACGTCACCTTTTGGTTTTGGGGACATTTTAGAGCCTCGAGTCGCCGCGTGGGTCGTAGCATCTTGGGTTCCGGCTGTTGCCGTGCTGCCGTTGTGACGAGTGGGAGGCATCATTTGCTGCTCCATTACATCCAATCTTCTCTTTTAACCCGAGACTGCGCTTGCACAGCTTTTGAAACGGTAAATCGTTATTATTTCTATAATTACTTTAATTTGGACTACGATATCTGGAAAGTCTCCACTAACTTTGTCAGAAAGTCACTTTGGATAAAAATGATATTTAAATACCAGTAATGTCAAATGTACAGTAATACATTCTACGCGCTGCATTTTATACTTATATTACATTTGAAATGTGCCTACGAGGCAGGGAAAAGGCCTACATTTAATTCCTGTATAATCAGATTTAAGGAGACAGCCTGAAAAACTCCCTCTTCAGATTCTCAATAGAACTGTACATATTTAATTGGAGGGAAGAGCTTCTCGGTCAAATCTAGGATTGAATTTAGCGCAGGTTTGGTAAAGCGCTGATTTGTTTTGAAGGTTATGGTTCATGTGCGATGTCACGTGGGCATTGAACTGTGTGTGTGGGTCCAAGACCAAGTGAAGGGAGATGCTCATCGGCTTGATTTAATCCAGAATGTTGCTGACGCTCTGCATTCGGCCGAGGCCACGGATGAGAGGATTCTTGCGAAGCGGCCTGTGCGTGCAGGCTACCTGTGAGCTTGTTTTGATATTAAACTCACTGAACTTTGGAGACGAGATCTGACAACAAGAATAATAACTCGCAATATCTTTTGTTTTGGCCCAGAGCTGCTAAGCTACGCGTCCTTCAGCCATAAGACCCAGTCCTCTGTGTCCCTCTGCAGTGTGTTTAAACTGTCTCTGCACGGGGGGACGTAGTGCAATCTCAAGGTAGCCCCACCCTGAAGAGGAGAGGAGTCTTCTAGGTGATTTATTTGCATTTAAATGAAATCATATTTCAGTAGATGGATGTCTGTTTTAAAGGCGGTTTGGAGTGATGCAGTTGATTAGAAAACGAACCACAAGGAACGAGAGCTTTCAAGGAAATGAAGAATGTTTTGTGCCTTAACAACATGAATCCAAGGAGGTAATGAGTGTGGATTTCCCTTGAGTCTCTAAGGAGGAAACCTCCTGGTGGCCGTGCAGAATTAGCTATGAGCTCAGAGCAGCAGATTTAGAGTGGATTATTCTGCACTGACGCAGCAGGAATAAAAGGTAAAACAGCGCACGCTGTTTTTGTGCATGAAAGGCTGTCGGATGAAGAGTGCAATAGTCAGTTTGGCTCTGTGATCAATACTCGTTTGACATTTGTTCAGAGCTTCAACGTGTGACTCGCCTGCTGATGGAGGTGCAGGCTGAAGGAAATTACGCTTGTATCAGACAAAAAATTGGCGGGCAGTTTCGTTTTCGAGATACCATTTGGCCGATCAATAATGTTTTCGTGGGACCATTTCAGGGATATAAAGAACACATACAAAAGAAGTATTTTAAATCTGTCAAGAGGAAAAAACTGCAACAATTGGACCAATAAATTAAATAAAGTTTAACAAGGCCGGCTCTCCACAAACGACTGTGAGGGAAGCTGTAATTTGGTAAAAACTGTGAGTATCTTCAGAAAAGTCCTCCTCAAAGCCCCCGGAGATACTAGAAAGACCTTTGACGTGTGTCTACGCGCTGTATGTGTGAATTCATCCTTCTGGTTTCAGATGCTCTGGAGGTTTAAGCCCTTTGTGTTCACTCAGTGACGTCATACATTCTTCTTCAGGCTCTTCCCCTGTTTAATTCCTCCGTCGAGCGGATGCGGTTGGCTGTAATTGACTTTTAATTGGCCGTGTTTTCATGGACCCCTCTGACGAGGTCGTGGATATTTCACGTCTCTCTGAGAGACATGGTGGGTTTGGGTGCTTCTGTCGCTACCGTGTGTGTGTGTGTGTGTGTGTGTGTGTGTGTGTGTGCATATCGTTTCCCTGCACAGCACGCTACTTAAGGAAAGCGCAATGATCACATCACTTGCTTTAATAGCGGATTGATTTCTGGAGCGTGGAAATCGTTTCCATCTCCGCCACTTGAACTGAGACAAAAAAAAATAAAAAATCTTTTTTTCACATATTTCTCTGGAAGAAACAACGACACAACAATCGTTTCACACTGTTTCTGTCATTAGATTATTTTTGCATCACGTGTAGTTTAGCTACATTTGTAAGCCACACAGAAGTATTTACATTCATGAGCTTTCAAATTAATTAAATTGGACTTAAGTGACCCTGTGGAGCCTTAAGCTGAATACCCCCCCAATCTGATAAAGGATATCTCCTCTATCGCTGACAGGGAAATATCTCCTGAGAATGCGGGTATCTCCTGGAGAGATTATATTAATGAAGGATCTTGAGCTGCGGTTACTTTGTTTGGTGCAGATTTAATCACAGCGAGCATATTGGATTCCTGCCAGTTCAGAACTTACTCAGAAGGTTTGACTTTGGTCCGTCTTTCGCGGGACCTTCGTTGTGTCTGGCTTTTGGGTCGTCATTGTGTGTTTGCTCGATGCAAAATAAACTGCTTCAATAGGTCAGGTCAAAGGTCAAATACGCCTGAACCTGTTGAGGGAGTCTTGGTTGTGATTGATGTCAGGTGATGTTCTTTCCAAGCCCCCTTTGGCCTGCTCGTCCTTAGTAGGCTGTGACAATGCCAGGTGTCCTCCAGGTGACGGGTGGAAGGACTATTTTAACCCCTCTTCCCCCTGTCCTGTGATCCAGAGGCCTGCCGGCGTCCGCTGGTCTCCGGTCTGCCGCCGCCGGCCTTCAGCAGCTCGTCCCGGGCGTCGGGCAGCCACGGGCCGGCCTTCGCCAAGCTCAACCGCAGAGAAGGTGAGTGGCAGAGAGAAGACAACGGCCTCCTTTCTCGCGAGAGCGAGTTTTGACTTCCTCTCTCGTTAGCTCATTTCTTTACCTTTATTCATTTGACTTTCAGACCACAAAAGAGACAAAACATTTGCGCCTGACCAGCGCCGCTGTCTGGGATTTCACAAAAGCACATTTATTTATTTTCTGCGTCATTTAAGGCCACACCAACAGGTAACGGACCCAGGAACAAAAAAATTGGACTTCCAGTCACGAAAAGGAACAAACACTATTTCACTGCTTGATTCATCAGTCAGCTGGTTGGCCATCAGCAGGCAATAATCAATGAGGGGGTTTACAGACTGTTTTATCTTGTACGGGTGCACACGCTTCACTGGTCATACGTGGTCGCAGTCTGCGCTATAATAAGGGGAAGGTGAACGACCTTTTCTTTTCAAGCTGCGTGATCGAGGATCTGCTCCTGAGGGAAGAGCGAGTTAGTGCAGCTGGGCTGCAGAAAAAGGGATGAAGAATTGAGAGGTGGTCCAATGAAGACCCTTTGTTTGTGTCACAGTTTGGGTTTATTTCCTGTTTTACTAACTAGTTTCCTGCCTCTTGTAAAGAATGAAAATATACACGAATGATATCAGTAGAGACAAATCGACATTGACAGGAAAATGCATACAAGTGTTTTTTATAAAAACACTGGCCAGGTAGGAGAGTGTTGTTCGTGGATGCAGTTCATGTGCTGCAAACTAAGTGCTCTACACATATTAAATATAGATTAAGTATATAGAAGCACCCTTAACGTTTGCATATTTAATGTCATAACAATAGCACAGGTCACAGTGCTTTACTGAGTCGGCTCTGAAGGGTGTCGCATGGAGCGTTTGTTCTGCGTCGCTCCTCAAACTGCTGGTCCACATGAACGTGAAACGTCTCAACCAACAGCTTCTCTCTGTTCGCTATTTGCAGAGAATTTAATCCCATTTCTCTCCGGGGAGACGGATCCTCGGGCTTCACTTCGCTCACTAATATCTCACCGTGCCGCAGGAAGCCGGGAACCAAAGTTACGATATCGGCCTGAGGGGCAGATAGTTTAACTTTGCAGCGGAGAAATCCCTCCGCTGCAAAGCCTCCCTCACTCAGTGAGGGTCTAAACCCTCAGACGCCTTGAGCGAACATTTTAAGCTTGCAATCACAATACGACTCGGCTTCAATTTCTTTCCTCGGGGCCTTTGCACAACGTCTGATACCAAGCGACTCGATCGGCAGAGACAGAACTTTGGAACGAGACACTGATATTTTTGTAGAATCACTGAAAATGGAATTCGTTGGAAGGATGACGCTTATATGGACACTGCAGTCGTCATCACAAATGAGACATGTGTCTTTCGAAGATGGAGGCGAGTGTCGATGAGATGCAGAAGCAGCTACAACGCGATGAAGACGAACCTTCGTGGACCTTCTTCAGCTGTCTTTCTATTCAGTATCCTGCCATGTAACTTCCGTCGAAGGCCGCTCGAGGACCTGCATCGCTTCCTCTGACTCAAAAGAACAGAAAAAAATAAGTTTAGCTTCCAGGGAATGAAGAACATCCTCCGAAATAGAGCGCGCACTACAAAGTCCGTCCTCTCGACGTCGTGACAGCGCGACTCGGCACACATTCTGAAATGTGAATTATTCAACGCGTCTTCATCTCGTGGTCTTCAGCCTCGGCTCTCTTTGTACGGAGGTCTGCAATAAACTGGCCACTTTAATATCGTAGAAGAAGCAGTTATATTATAAGAACAGTCCTTAAGCTACAGATTAAACTCTTTCCACTGTTGCAAATTAAACATCAAAGACGTAAATTGATAATTTATTGGTGCTCGGGGCTTTTAAACTATGGGAAAGTTTGTGTCTGATTAAATAAGTTTAGTACGTTTGTCTTCTTTTAACAGCTGGAAACTTGTATTTGTTCTTTCAGTATTTCAAGGATCCAGCGGCATCAATCTCTTCACGCCGTCTCTCCTGATACGTTTCGATTCATCTTTGATTCCCTTTGATATTCCAGCGCTCCTCAGAGACTTTGTCTGCTCTCCTTTGTGAGTGTTGAGAAGTGACCTCCTCTTCCTCTGGGCGATGAAGATGTGTCTCCCTCTCCTCCTCCCAGGAGCTGGCGGTTGGTCTCCTCTGAGCTCGGACCCACATCAGTGGCTGGAGGTGGACCTGGGCGGGCGGACACGCATCACTGCCGTCGCTACGCAGGGTCGCTATGGCAGCTCTGATTGGCTGACGTCCTACCAGCTGATGTTCAGCGACGCGGGACACAACTGGAAACAGTATCGGCAGGAGGACAGCAGAGGGGTGAGCGCGCTTCAGATAACCTGAGATAAGACTTATTGATCGCAGAACAACACGTAAGAAAAAACCTGTGAAAGTACAAAAGTACGTCAACAATAGAGGAACAAAGTCAACAAGAAATGAATCAGTGCAAAAACAAAAAAAGAGTGAAAAGGTAAAGTAATAACTAAGCGGGTCACATGGAGTCAACGCAGGGTGAAGCCCTCTCAGGGGGAGACAGACCACCCGTTTTTGTTTATGGATAAAAAAGAACATCACCGGCACACCGATGGTTAGAAAGTACCAATGAGGAAAATAATCTGCTCGCCCACAGCTGTGAGAAATGTAGCAGGTATAAAAAGTACGAAACAACTCTCTATACGTGTTACTTTCCGCATATAATTGAAGTTTCTATTATTTCTTTGCCTTTTATGTACCTAAAAAAGAAACTTCTGACGTTGCTTTATGAAATGTGAGCGAACGTCATTGGACTTTTCCCCTCTGTTATTATTATTAGCACCATTATTCCAGGCTGTTCTCCTCCAGCATCCTCCGCTGTGATGGAATCTACAACACCAGATTGTGTGTATTTCTAAGTAGTAATCATGAAGTAAAACCTGCACGCGCGGTCGATGGAGCAGATAAAAAACGCCTGTTCGTCCCCGTCTGAATCCAACGTAACAGTTTGTGATTTTCATTTAACGTCTGTAGCAAATGAATGAATTCCCATAAAAAAAGCTTCTCCTTCCACTGAGACAGAAGTTCCAGCACACACACACACACACACACACACACACACACACACACAGATGGCGGAAAGAACAGAGCATCAAACACACTGAACGGAAATCAGGGACGAATCAACGAGTCTGAAGTTCCTCTGAAGCTCCACAAGTGAGCCGCTTCATCAGTCACAATTCTTCAGGGTTTCTCTTTTCCTTTAAGCTCACGGGCTGAGAAACGCTGCCCCCCCCCCCTCTCGACATCGCCGTCTCTCTCTCTCTCTGTCCTCTTTCTCTCTCTCCACGTGAGAAAAAGGTGTGAAAGAAGCGACTAGATGGTGTCGGGAATAAATGACTCTCTCAAGCAGCGGATGCAGGAGCCTCAAGAGGTGACGGAGGCAGCGTAGATTTCCCTGCAGGAGCGATGAAGACTCTCTTAATGAGCTTCATCCTGAAAAGCTTCAAGCGGCAGTGGGGGAGAACATTAAAGTGCACAATGCAAAGTCGAGCAAATCGACGTGAGATTCGTTTAACTTCATTGATTTATCTCCATGAAACTTTACCAACAGTTTAAACCCTGAAGGAAAAGCACAAACTACATCGTCATGTTTACGTCCCTCATACGATCCTGTGGGGGGGGGGGCGAACTGTCATTTGTGGAGGTGACAATGTTTCCTGTCTTACAGAATATGGTTCGGATGATGTGCCAGAGTAGTTCCAGGGACAATAAGCGCCAATATGAAGGCAGGTCGGGGCGGGTTAGATTCTCCCAAAATGCTATTCATCGGGACGAAAACTGTTTTGATGGAAAGTCATTTCTGATCATTTCTTTTCTGGTTGTCACAAATTGGAGAATTCATGCTGGAGAGCAGACGATGCGTCAGACACGAGAGCAGCTCCTGTGGTTTTAACGCCTTAACCTGGTTTGTGCGAGCAGCTACGCAGCGGCAGCACAGGGGAAGCAGGGATGTCATTTTCGGCATCCTGCAGCCCCCTTTTTTTCAGAGCGATTGTAGGTTAAATACACGGTATTTGCATATAGATTAAAAATCAAACACAGGTATTGGAGCCGGCACACCGACTCTGGTTTCTCAGTCAAACAAAGAAATAGTGAGGGAAGAAAAACAAGAGAAAAGAGGAAGAGTCATTAATAAATGACTCCGTCTACCAAGGCCTCTAAAACACAGCTTCACAGGAACGAGGCTCCATCTCCACCAGCTCCCCTTCTTCACGCAGTCACCTCTCACAGGGGGGGGGGCGGCATTGTGTCTCTGTGGTGTCAGAAGATGGACCATGTCCAATGCGTCTCCAGGCTCTTCCAGGTAACACCAACGCGGACAGCGTGGTCCTGCACAAGCTGCAGCATCCCGTGATCGCTCGCCACCTCCGCCTCCTGCCGCTGGACTGGAACCCTCGCGGCCGGATCGGACTCAGACTGGAGACCTACGGGTGCTCATACGGTCAGTTTGGACCTTTACTCAATCCTCCGTTTACAGATGTAATAATCCTCCCTGTCACATTTGTGCAATATGTCCACTAATTGGAGAAGAGGCAGCGGATGAGCTTTGATTAGAAATGAGCCACGGGAGTGATAAAAGAAAAACAGAACCAGCATGAGAGGAGAGGCAGCGAGGGCAGAGGAGGCAGGAGAGGACACAGGAGAGGAGACGAGGCAGTAACAGAAAGCATCTTCCCATATGTGCGTTAATGATGGACATGATCCAAGTCTCGCCAGTGAGGGAGGTTGTTCACTTCTTCTTCTTCACACAAGAGAATAAAGAAGGAGGAAAGCAGGAGGGAATGAAATTAAATATTTTGCCTCTCTAGTGTGACAGTAAATTATCTTTGCAAACGTGTTGCTGCTAAAAAAAAAAAAAAACGCGTGACCCGAATGCTTGTGAAACTTTTGGGGCAAACCTCTCATCTTTGACTTTTGACAAATTTAAATTGAGGGTTGTTCTGTTTCCAGCAGAAGACGCATCGGATGCAGAAAATGATTAATCTGGGCCGAGGTTTCTAATTTGATGGTCCGGTAGCGACGCAGCAGGGCGGGTGTCTGAGGCTCAGCGTTAATGAGAATTATTATCAAGTGTATTATTTTACTTCAGCGGCTGCGCCGTCTACAATCTGCTCACATTCAGAGGTTTCAACTGTTAGCTTCTTCATAGAGTCTCCACAGGTCGGTGGTGCTTCCTCAATAACCTTCTTTCTTACATTTTGTTGAAGGGTCATTGGAGGAAGATGTAAGACGCGTAATTCAGATTCTTTTCCTTTCAGGCTCCCACGTGGTGAGCCTCGGCGGCCGCGGCGGCCTCCTCTTCAGGCTGAGCCCGGGCCCGAGGCGGACGTCCGGGGCGAGCGTCTCCCTGACCTTCAAGACCCTGAGGAACTCCGGGGTGCTCCTCCGGGCCGAGGGCCGCAGCGAGCACGGCCTCGTCCTGCAGCTGGAGGAAGGAAAGCTGCTGCTGCTGCTCCTCAGAAAAGGTACGGCGGTGAAACCACCTGACGAGGCGTCCGAGCCTGAAGGTCACAGCGTGAGCAGGTCATGGACCTGCTCACCCCCTCCCCCCCCCGACCTCCTGCTTATGCAGCTTTTATCTATTTGAATAATTGAATCGTGGATCGCTTGTGATGCATGTCGGCGTGCGAGGGGGGTCGTGCTTTTTACCTGCGTTAGCTGCTGACCCTCAGAGGCCTGGTGACATCACGTATCGAGGCGGCTAACAGGAGACCCTCAGTACGCCTCTGTTAGTTTGAATGAATAAACCTGGCTCATTGAAACGTAGGCGCCAGCTCACCAAAGCGTCCCATTTCCTCTCCGCCGCGCATTCATCAAAACGTCGGCTCACGTCTCGCAATTGAGCCCTTAAGCTCTGGAATATTTAGTGGGCGTGAACACGCGGAGGGATCGATGGCGGCTCATCTCGTGGCCTGTGGCCGAGCTTCATCCAAACGAAGAAGACAGGATGTGACTGGGGAAAAAAAGGAAATTTAGTTTCTGGTTCCTGGAGACAGAAAATCTGAAATGCAGCTTTTTTTCTCTCTTATGTTCCCAAACTGTGGAACATTTTACCCCAAAAACATGAGCAGGATTTGCATGTCTATTCCACCAAACCTTTATTTAGTCAAATAACCTTTTATGTAATGAAACACATCGTCTGTTTTTTTCTGTTGAAATCGTTTTATTAAATAACAGACATGCTTTGTGCTATTATTGATTATTATATCATTAAGAGGAAATCCCTTTAAGTCTTTATGAAATGTGCTTTAGAGAAAGAGCAAAGAGCAAAACCTGTCATTCACAGTAAGCCCCGCCCCTAAAGCATCCCCTGCTTTATGGTCTGTTTTACTCTAAATGGACCCTCATTCACTAAATGAAGGTCATGCTAAAGAAGACTTGAAACTAGATTGAGAGCGTAAGCTCTTGTTTAATGAGGGAGTAAGTCGAGCAGAGGCGTCTTTAGAGAGAAGCATTCCCTTCTCTCTTCAGAGCCACCGGTGGAAAGAAGGCCGATCTGGGAATGGTGACTGATGACTGAACGGCCTCTCGGCCGCTTTCTCTCAACTCCGTTTTTTCAACCGCACGGACAGCGTCTTCAAACAACGTCTGATTCATATTTGATGAGCGAGTGCTTCTCGCCGCGTCCTCGCCTCCTTCTCTGGAGGACGGGCAGCGTTTGCTCTCATTTATTCATGGCGCTTCCACCTCTCCGTCCGCTCCCGTCGGTGTTAACCACGTGTTATTGCCTCCTCTGGTCTCCTCTCGCTTCACACCGGGATGTGATCCCTAACTGGGAACGGCACCAGTTCAGAGACCCAGGAGGCGGGCCGGGCCCCGTACATGACGAGGGCGCCGAGGATGCTGCTGGAGACAAAGCCATGAAGATAACCATGAGAGAACAAGTATTCCCGACTTAGACAATATACATAGGATCACGAGACTGTCTATTGGTAAGTATGTAGCACACAAGTGTCAAACTCAAGGCCAAGTCCGGCCCCCCCCCGGGGGTCATAATGCATATATTGCAGTTCCATAAAAGTAGCTGCTGTTCCCAATCAGTCCACTGGGGGTCGCGCCCTGTGAGTGAGCGCATGCCTTAGGACCAGGGGGACCAGGTCCTTCACCAACGCCGCGCCGGTAGATCACCTGCCATCCCGTCAGGTGACCACGCATGCGCGATGGCCCCCGGTGTGCAGCGCTGTTTGGTTGCCGTTACCGCTCGTAATTATTATTATTCCCTCCGTTAGACCTTAGAGCACGGCGTCACTGCAGCAGCAGCGCTTTAGTTATCACCTCATTACTGACACAGAGATAAAGATTGCAAACTTAATTATTTATAAAATTATTTTTAAATATGCAAACGAGAGATAACACACAGACACAATGTAAAATAATCCCCTGAATTTATCTTTGTTGTTTTCTTTCCACCGGTCTGAAATAAAACACGTTTACGAAGCCCAATCTAAAAAACATTCTTCTTCTTCTTCACCCCCCCCCACATCATCTCCTCCCTCTTCTCCCCCGTCCTTCCTTCCCAGGCCGGACTGCCTCTCCTGACGGCCGGCGCCTGGTGTCCCTGGGCAGCCTGCTGGACGACCAGCACTGGCACCACGTCTCCATGGAGCTCGGCGTGGACGGCCTCAACCTCACCGTGGACGGCAGCTCGCTGTGGGTGCGGCTCCCACCCAGGCTCGCCCACTGGGACCACCAGCAGGTGAGCGTGGGAGCGGGCCGCGGCCCCCGGCGGGCGGTCGGGGGGAGCGGACATTTCCACGGCTGTTTGGAGAACCTGGTTTACAACGGGGTGAACCTGCTGGAGCTGGCTGAGAAGAAGGACCAGCGGGTCACTGCGGAGGTAAACTGGCTCAGGATCAGCTGATCAGCTCGTTATCGTGTTTTCCCCTCTGAAAGAACTCCCCCCCTCACCCCCTTCTCCTCCCCCTCCTCCCCCTCTGCATCCTCCTCAGGGCGACGTGATCTTTTCCTGTGCCGAGTCCGTCCCCGTTGCCATGACGTTCACCAGCGCCCAGAGCTTCCTCCGGTTGCCCCTGGCGACGGAAGCCCCGCCGTCGACTCGCACGTCGGCGGGCCTTCAGTTCCGGACTTGGAACGAGGCGGGGCTTCTGCTGACCTTCGACCTCCCGGAGCAAGAGGGTGCGGCGTGGTTGTACCTGAGCGGAGCCAGACTCCACCTGCGGATCCACAAGGCCGGCAGGGCGCCGCTGGAGCTCAGCGCCGGTCAGCGAGCCTCCACCTCCACGCGATGCCCTCAGACGGTCCGAGTGCCTTTCTGTGCGTCACGCCGCTTGCTTTTGCGCGTCCTCAGGCTCCGCCCTCAACGACGGTCAGTGGCACTCTGCGGAGCTGACCTCCAGACGGGGGCATCTGTCCGTCTCCGTGGACGGAGGTGAAGGAGCCACAGCTCACGCCAGTCCTCCGTTCCTCGTCGCCATGGGGGGGCAGCTGTTCTTCGGCGGTAAGCGGGGCGTCCGCGTGGTGAAAGAAAACAGCGGTTTGCTGCAGACTTTGTGAGGTGCGTCCGTTGCGTGCAGGTTGCCCCGCTGACGGGGGCCGCCAGGACTGCGTGAACCCCTTCAAGGCCTTCCAGGGATGCATGCGCCTGCTGACTGTGCACAACCAGCCGGTGGACCCGATCCCGCTGCAGCAGAGGCTGATGGGAAACTACAGTCACCTCCAGATCGACATGTGTGGCATCTTGGACAGGTCAGATTTTTTATATTTCTTACCAAATCGTGTTATAAAGTACCAGAAGAGAGGGTCACGCGAGGATTATTGGACACCTCGGATTGGATACAGAGGGAAATATCAGCAACAGTCTCCCAGAATGTCTCCGCTCTGAGAAAACAATCGGGTTCTTGTTGTGTCGGGATACAGAGGTGGCTTTTCTCTCTTCGGAATGTGATTTATTTGTGGTGAGGAGCAGCTCCGGAGGAGTTTGGCTGCGTGCCTCAGCGTGGGTTCAGTGGATGGAGTCTTCTTCGCTGCCCTCTCGGCTTTCTGCTGTTCACACGGTTTCTGCCAAATGACCGTGAGGATGATCTCACGCCTGCTTATGTTCATCTTTTGTCTTCTGATTCCGACCCTCAGGGAAAAGCAACGTAAAAGTGCTACGAATAACATCCAGGACTGAATTTCGAGGCGAGTCTCCTAAACCGGCATTAGAAACACCAAACGAGGCCGGTGGTACATGATGTCTTTGATTAGAGGCCTTCACACACCTGGAGCAGGACGGATTAATGGCGAAAAAATGCAAAATACTGAAATGTTCTCGTGTTTGAGCAACAAGCTGCTATCAGAACAAGACGTTGATTTATGCTGCTTACAGCCGCCCTCGTCCGACCTCCTGCTCACCGAGCTTGGGGGGACTTCGGGGAACAAAGAGGGTCCGCCAGGTGCGTTTGTGCACACGTGCAGATAAGCGACGCAATGGACAATGAACAATTCACCGGCAGAATTTAAAATGCAAAAAAGTACCCACCTGCCTCCATCCCTGCTGAGTCCTCGTAGAGGAAAAAGGAAAGCAAAGGAATTAAAAAACAAACTTAACCATCTGAGAAGCCGGCTGAGCAAGACGTTTTTTCCCAAAAGTGAGTTTCCCGAACTGTGAGATTAGAAATACTGCTCTCTCTCTGTCTGTCTGTCTGTCTCTCTCTCTCTGTCTGTCTGTCTGTCTGTCTGTCTGTCTGTCTGTCTGTCTGTCTGTCTCTCTCTCTGTCTGTCTGTCTGTCTGTCTGTCTGTCTGTCTGTCTGTCTCTCTCTCTTATGCAAACATTAGGGACAACCTAACAACCGGGCTGTTTATTTGATGAGCTCCATGTTTCCTCCCACACAGTCAGGTCTTGTGCACAGAGGGAAACACACGTGACCTGAATGTGTTCACAAAGCTTTGCCCCCTCAAGTTCTGTCAGAACGAGGAAGCCGTGCCGTCGCCAGTGGGCATCACGGTGGTAAAAGTCTGAAGGAGCCTTCAGAGATCAAACTCAGCGGCGAGTTTGAGACGTTGAGTCAATGAACCAGCTTCTATCGTCTCTGATCGCAGTTCACTAGAACTTAAGTGGGTGTTTTTTTTTTGCTGTTTTACCGCGTGAGTGGAACCTGAACGCTGATGTTAAGCAGGTTGACCCGGATGATCAAGGCGTCTCCCCCCCCCCCTCTCCCCTCTTCTCTCTTCTTCAGGTGCTCTCAGAGTCACTGCGAGCACGGAGGCAGCTGCCGTCAGTCATGGAGCAGCTTCCACTGCAACTGCTCCGGCACCGGCTACAGCGGAGCCACCTGCCACAGCTGTAAGCCCGACACGCTCTGTGCGTGTGTGTGTGTCTGTGTGTGTGTGTGTGTTCACTTGTTGCCTGTAATGACCTGACATCTTTTGATGTGTGATGATGATGATGATGCGTCTCTTCCTCCCCAGCGATATACGAGCAGTCCTGTGAGGCGTACAAGCACCGGGGCAACGCGTCGGGTTATTATCACATCGACGTGGACGGCAGCGGCCCCATCAGAGCGCGGCTGATGTACTGCAACATGACAGGTGGGGCTGCAACGCACACATCAGAGACCCGCCCCCTCGACCTCCCCGACCCCACCGACCTTCCCTCAAATAATTGCTTCACGATCCCACAGAGGACCACACCTGGACGGTGATCCAGCACAACAACACGGCCCTGACGAGGGTCCGGCCGGCGCCGGGCGGGGGGCGCATCTCCGCCCACTTTGCGTACGCGTCTGACGAGGAGCAGCTGGCGGCCGTCATCGGCCAATCGGAGCGCTGCGAGCAGGAACTGAGCTACGACTGCAGGAAGTCCCGCCTGCTCAACACGGCGGGTAAAGACGTCCCGCGAGGTCGTGTCCTATCAAAGCGTCTGATAAAATAACAGCAAATATTGATCTTGATGCCTCTCTAAAGGGACAAGTATTAAAGGACTAACCGGCCTGGGGGGGGGGTGTTGCAGACGGCCCTCTGCTCAGCTGGTGGGTGGGGGGTCCCGGTGACGGACAGGTGCAGACTTATTGGGGCGGAGCCCCGCCGGGCAGCCAGCGGTGTTCCTGCGGCCTGCAGCAGAACTGCGTGGACCCCCGGCACGCCTGCAACTGTGACGCCGACCGCAGCGAATGGTACCGTGTCGCTCAGGATTACGCCGCTTTCATATCGGATTATTACCGCTGTGAAACTTTCATTCTGGTTTAGATCAAGAATAAAACAAAATAATAATCCTTTTTTTTTCTTCATACTTGATATTTCACTTTATTCTTCTCATCCTTCCTCTTCTCGTTGTAAAAGTTTATCTTTTTCCGCCCTGTTTCTCGGCTTCCTCCTTCAAAGCTTTCTTCTTCTGTCTTCTTCCCCCCCCCCCACCCCCCCTCCTCCTGTCCAGGGCCAAGGACTCAGGCCTGCTGACCCACAAGGAGACCCTCCCTGTGAGGTCTCTGGTGCTGGGGGACGTCCAGAGGTCCGATTCAGAAGGCGCCTACAGGGTCGGGCCTCTCCGTTGTCATGGAGACAGTAAGCCCAACGTCCCCTTTAGAACTACGCAATACAAGTGACATTAGTTAGTCACATTGAGGTGAATTCCACAGTAATGACTGAGCGGCTTTTGGTTTATTCACAGAAAACGTCTGGAACGCTGCACTTTTCGACCAGGAGACGTCTTACCTCCACTTCCCCACCTTCCACGGCGAGCTGAGCGCCGACATCTCCTTCCTGTTTAAGACGTCTTCGTCCTCCGGCGTCTTCCTGGAAAACCTGGGCATCAAAGACTTCATTCGCATCGAGCTCCGCTGTGAGTAAAGACCTTTAAGTTTGTACAGTAGTTTGATTGTAAAAAAGCCATAAAATTACACAGAAATCACGGCACATCTTTGTTACATATGTAATATGTTTTAGAATATTTGTAATAAGTCATGTTCCTGCAGTTATTTGGTGACTTCAGGCATAAAAACCCACTGAGTGTATCCGACTGTTTCATCAAGGAGCTTCTTGTCCTGTGAAAATAAAAACACAACAACCGACAATTATCTCCGTGGCTGCAGTTGAGGTGACCGGGAGGTATTATTATAACCGGTTGCCGTGACAACCGCCCCTTCGGTGAGAGAAGAACAAGTAAGGCGAGAGAGTTTGAGAAGATGAGAAGCCCTCGTTACACTCCTGCAGTCACGACGAGACCGTTTCCCTTTTTCATTTTTCTCTCATTTCTCATTTTGGAAAATGAACCGAGCGCTGAACCGGACGAACGCTTTGCCGAGTCGTCCAGTGAGCCTCGCCTGTCTCCCTCCCCCGACTCAGCTTCCACCGAGGTGCTCTTCTCCTTCGACGTGGGCGACGGCCCGACGGAGGTCGCCGTGACGACCGGCTTCCCGCTCGACGACGACAGGTGGCACCGCGTGCGCGCCGAGCGCAACGTCAGGGCGGCGTCGCTCCGCCTCGACGAGCTGCCCGCCGCCACGAGGGAGGCGCCCGCCGACGGGCACGTCCACCTGCAGCTCAACAGCCAGCTGTTCATAGGTGTGTGTGTCTGATCTTCTGGACCTTTCCTGCAGGTCAGACTTCCATGAGAAGAGTGTTCTGTCGAAACCTTCCATCCTGGTCCACGTCTCCAGGGAACGAATCGCTACCACGTCTCTGGTCATTTACTCTTAATCCGACACCTCAGCAATTTACGCATGCCGTCATTCTTCCCGGCTCACGATTCAGTCGGATTGACGGCTCGCCAGCTTCCGGATATGAACAATCATGGTGCTCTCACCTTGAATATTTTACCTGCTGCTGTGCGTTTCACTGAGTTTCATCAGCTCATCACTTTAAATAATTCAGCGTGAGGGAATGTTGACACATCTTTGTCCCCCCGAGGTGCAGAGAGTGTTCAGCTGTTTGTTACAAAATCAGATATCAGTCTCTGTCCGGATCACAGAGACGATGAGATTTGCCTTCCCATTCGTTTCGTCACATCTGCGGTTTGATAAACTTAACATCACTGAGGTGAAGTAGTGCCGACTTCATCCTTCTGCATTTCTGCAGACAGAAGAAAGTTGTATTTGTTATATTGTATATGCTTGTTTCTCGCATATCATCATTCAGAAATGAGCTGCAGCTGGTGGCTGCCTGCAAAGAATGGAAATGCATTAACAAGCTCGAAAAGTTGTCAACCGCAACATAAAGTAGTGATGATTTGTAGCTGCAATGTAGAAAATCACACATTTGGATCAGTAATGAAAAGCTTGATCCACACCTCAGACAATCAATTCATTTCATTTATCAAAAGGAAATGAGTCCGCAACGGTTAAACAACAGAAGACAGAGGTATTAAGTTATTCTTATTTGTGTAATTGAATGAGTTTGTTGGCCGAATCGCGTCGCATCAGCAGCAGAATCCCGTGTCTTCCCTCCAGGCGGCACCGCGTCCAGGCAGAGGGGCTTTCGGGGCTGCATGCGCTCCCTGCAGCTGAACGGGGTCCCCCTGGACCTGGAGGCGAGGGCCAGGATCACGCCCGGGGTGCAGGCGGGGTGCCCGGGCCACTGCAGCAGCTACGGCTCGCTCTGCCAGAACCGCGGCCGCTGCGTGGAGAGAACCAGCAGCTTCTCCTGCGACTGCAGCTCGTCCGCTCACACCGGAGCCTTCTGCGACAGAGGTGCTCCACCTGCACCACCCGCATATTCTACATTATATATATATATATATTATACAACATGTTGTACTGCAGATGTTTTCCTGTGATGATGATGGCAAACACAAAAGTTAACTCACTGCAATAAGATTATCTCAGCATTTAACCATTGATTTAGTGCAGAGGGTCAGTTATTTTTGCGTTTTTAAATTATGCTTAAATATAAGAGCCGTGTGCCGATTTTTGTCAGACCACACACCTGCACTTTCTGATGCTTAAGTTCTCCCTGGAGCGTTGAGTCCTCACGTCAGCAGTAACACACACTATTTATGCAATAATTAACAGCTGTGTTGTCTGTCGCACGCTTTCAGCGACGGGGAATCACATCCCATACAGAGGCGATTTAATTAGCAGTCACATTTTGCATCGTTCTTTTCACCTGGCAGGTGTTTTTTGTGGCACCACGACCTCAATTAATTATGGGTTGTCACTGCCGCATTTACAAATCTATATTTACCCATATTCCAATGTGAGGCATGGTGTCCCTGCAAAGCCAAAACTAAAATCTCCCTAAAAGCACATCCTGCGTGAAGAAGAATGCTTTGTGATTAAACCTTCCCACAGTGTCTCCTCCCTTTTCCTCCCGCAGAGGTTTCAGCCAGCTTCAAGTCGGAGACATCCGTCAGCTACGCCTTCAACGAGCTGGACCGGGGCAGCGACGGCTCCCCGTCCCCCGCCGTCTCCTCCGACCTGGACCTGAGAGCGGAGGACCTCTCCCTGAGCTTCAGGAGCCTCCAGAGTCCAGCCCTGCTCCTCTTCGTGGGCTCCTCCCGCAGAGAGTACCTGGCTCTGCTGCTCAACCAGCACGGTGAGGGAGGCTTCACTTCTCCTCAAATGGATTTCATTGGCTGGCCCTGAATGTTTCAGTGTTTATGGCGCATGGTGCATGCATATTCCCTGTTTTTCTATCTAGATTTAGATCTAGTTGCAGCATCATGTGCATAACAAAAGTTGACTTTGCAGTTACAAATGGAGCTACATCCAACTTCAGAGCACCAACTTTCTGATACCAGTATCCGAATATCTCCCCTCTATCAATTCAAGTGTGTTTTTGGGGATTGACACAATATGCAAAACATACCCAAATATATAATACATAATACAATAAAAAACGTTTTTGACGTATAAAATTGTTTGACTTTCAACGTTTGTTTTGCTTAGTTGATACAATAAATTTATCCTCACTTTATCCTCTTATCTGTCAGATAAAGTGCTCAGAGTTGAGACTTTGTGCCTGTAAGGATCATCCATGAATCCTTCTTTTCTTCTAATGTCAGCTCCTCCTCTTGCTGCTTCTGTTCTCGCTTCATTCAACAACATCCGTGTTGAATCAGACGAGAGGCGAGTGGGAACATTTGACTTAAAAAAGAGGCGGCTGATAAAGGTTCCTTTTGGGTGATTGAACACTGTGACATTTTTTAAGATCTACATCTTCAGTGTAACAGAAAATAATTTGCCTTCCTTATCTTTTAAAGATCACCCGGGTCGTTTTCATCCATCTAGATGTGAAAGTTACAACAGGTCTGTAATCACTGATGTCAGTGATTACAGACCTGAAAGCAAAACATTCAGAGGCAAACAAACACCAATACCAATAAATACCATGGAACACATTATTTTCAATGCATTGTTTTCTTGTATTAAACAAGAGGGTTTGAGGTTGTTTTTTAGCAGCTTATTCTAATTTCAGTGCTCATTCAATTTCATGCTTTAACAGTTCATTCACTGAATCCAATTCATCGATTCCTCCTTGTGCTTGAAAATGAGCGTACGGAGCAAAACTGCACAGGGCGGACCGGGGGTTGTTACACTATGTTGTTACGCTACATTGTTACGCTACATTGTTACGCTACATTGTTACGCTACATTGTTACACTACGTTGTTACACTACGTTGTTACACTACGTTGTTACGCTACATTGTTACGCTACATTGTTACGCTACATTGTTACACTACGTTGTTACACTACGTTGTTACACTACGTTGTTACACTACGTTGTTACGCTACATTGTTACGCTACGTTGTTACGCTACATTGTTACGCTACGTTGTTACGCTACGTTGTTACGCTACGTTGTTACTCTACATTGTTACACTACATTGTTACGCTACGTTGTTACACTACGTTGTTACTCTACATTGTTACACTACGTTGTTACGCTACGTTGTTACGCTATGTTGTTACGCTACGTTGTTACACTACGTTGTTACTCTACATTGTTACTCTGCGTTGTTACGCTACGTTGTTACACTACATTGTTACACTACGTTGTTACACTACGTTGTTATGCTTAATTGTTTTGCCATGTTGCGTAGTTACATAAGTAAGCTACATTATTAAGTTACATCGCAGTGTTACATTGCAGCGTTTCACCGTTCGGTTACATTGATCTGTTAATTTGTTAAATTGTTAGGTTAAATTGTTTTTTACGTTTGTTGTTACGTTACTTTGTTTTGCCGTGTTGCGTAGTTACATCATTACGTGATATTGTTAAATTACATCGTTACACTAAATCATGCGTTATATTGTTTTGTTATCTTACTTTACATCGTTAGGTTAAATTGGTACGTTATATTTTGTTTTGTCACGTTGCCTTGTTTCTTTACATCGTTACAGATGAGCAACTTTTCTAAGATGAAGATGTCGTCTTCATTTTTGAGTGAAAGCTGAATAGTATGAACCACGCTAACCGTATCTCATCCTCAGATTCCGTTTGTCTTCTTGTGGCGTCTGTAAGAAGAGAGAACTAAAAAGTAGTGATATGAAGAAACAGGTCACCTCGTGTGACCCGTGGTCATTGTGGCGTGAACACACTGTGCAGCTTTCTCTCACTCTTCTTCTCTAACGAGTGAGATACAAAGTGTTAAAAGTGCTGATTATAAATAATGCATTATTTATAGCTTACATAGACAACTCTATGTAAGCTATAAATGGCCTGAGGACTTCATGCTTCACAATTAGTCCAAAGTTATGCTTTTATGAATTCCCACAATGTATTAATGTGGACAAGTTATTATCCATTTGCTCTGTAAAATGGAAAATAAGCTTTTCTATGTGTCTTATCATCCACACAGCCTGCAGACATTACATGGTGAATGCAATGAAATAACCCTTTTTTTCAATGACATGAACATTATGTAAATTAACTTCAGTCTGTTTATCATTGCCGGCAGTATTTGGCCCTAATGTTAAATTATTTCTGGGTTTATTGTTCAGCTGCTTTGACCCTGAAACATCGAGACGTCCCTTGAGACCCTTTTTGTACGTAGACGATGGGTGGAAAAGAAAGTTTTACTGGTTCAGTTTAAAAGCATTATATCATTTATTAAACTTCAACATTGATTTTAGAAGTTAAAATCTTTAATATGTTCACACTGAATGATAACCATCAGGTAGTTGTATTACTATGTAATTTGCTATTCGGTCATTTGCTGATAATGTGCAGACATGCTGGAGGTGAGATACCGACTGGACAGCAGCAGAGCCGCTGACGTCCTGAGAAGCAAAGTGACGAACCTCGCCGACGGACGGCTCCACGCCGTCGTGGTCAGCAGGCGGGCCGCCGCCGCCTGGGTGCAGGTAACATACAAGAATACATTCCGCTGTTCCCAGCAGCCTCAGCGGGGCGGCAGGTGAAACCTGAGCCAGAAGTTAGATTAAAATAGGCTCTTTTCCAAACCCTAGTCGCGTTTTTACCCAAACCATCCTGGAGTTTACGTTGAAAAGACACAAAGGCTGGAGGAGAACCAGCACGAGAGTCTGGAGCGTTTTCACCGTCTCTCATACTCTCATGTTTGGTCCCGTTGGAACGATGGACGGGGTTTCCACCCGTTGTATATATATAATACTTATTGCATTATTTTGCTCATTTTGTGTATCAGTCTTCAAACACGTTTCAAGTTGTGCAATTGTGTAAAAAGTGTAAAACATTGAAAATTACCAATATGTTCACTACAATGATCATTTGTTTTCCTTGAAGCAGCTACAAAGCAGCAATGTGGATTTTGAAATCTTATTTTGATCTAATTTTTTTTACCAGATTGACCAGAACAGCAAAGAGGACTTCAACCTGACGTCGGATGTAGAATTCAACGGCGTCCGGTCGCTGGTTCTCGGCAGGGTGCACGGTAGGTGAGCCTGAAGAACCCAACGAGGGACTGAAACCTTCATCACGATGATGGGAAGTCCAGGCCGTGTAATGGGCACAGGACCAACATAGAAATGAAAGCAAATACCGGGAAGTCTTAGGTCAGGATCAGTTTATCGCCTGGTGACGGGACCATGGACGCTGGACGGATCCCGCGTGTAACACACTGTGACGCCCCTTCGTCTTTCATCCGCAGCCATTGATATCCAGCATGACGCGTGCACGTACCCTTTGTCTCCAGACTCTGCCGAGTTGGACCCGGGGCTGTCCCGGCTGGCCTCTCTGGGTTTCACCGGCTGCCTGTCTGGCGTGCTCTTTAACTCCGTCAGCCCTCTGAAGGCGGCCCTGCTCCACCCGGACACCAGCCCCGTCGTGGTCACCGGCCCGCTGGTCCAGTCCATTTGTGGCTCCACCTCCGCCGATCCCCACGCGGCAGGAACCAGACACCACCTGTCAGGTCAGAGGACACGCTCGGTGCTCTTTCAAATGTCTCATATGTTTAATAAATGAAGTCAACATTTGGGTTTTAGTAAAGTCTTACTGCAAGCGAAGCGCCCACCTCCTCCCGGGACATTAATAAATATTACTGGGGTTAGCGTCTCTGTGTGGGTGTTACGTCAGAGAACATTGCAACAGGGCCGTTGGGATCACAACACGGGGTAATTTATTCAGTTATCGTATCTTTCCCCAATGCTCACAATGTCTCTTTGCTTCTCATCTGCTCACATCCATGTCTTCGTCCTCCTCTTCGTCTCTCTCCGCTTGCGTTCGACCTCTCTGCTCTTTCCTTTGTGCCTTCACCTCCGCGCCGCCTGTCCCTTCCGCTCTGTGTCTCTGCTGCAGGCCAGTCTGGATCAGTGGGAACGGGTCAGCCTGTGGAGAACGCCGTCAGGAGGGACTCCGCTCTGATTGGAGGTTCCGTACCGGCGCTGTTTCTCACTGTAACCTTTGGCCATTTCCCTCAACCGTGTCTCCAAAACTTTCTGGTTTTGTCCCCTGCAGGACAGAAAGTGGGACAGGGACCAACAGATTTGTCTCAAAATGAAAGCGAGATGTTCATGTCCAATAATGTCCCGTAGTCCTATTGGTCCCATTTGAATAGACAACTGGCAATGACGAGGCTTCCATGTCACTACTGCGCCCGCAGTGACCTTTGACCCGTGCCCTGTGCTCTGCCTTGCAGGCGGGATAGCGGTGGCCATCTTCGTGACCGTGTCGGCGTTGGCCGTGACGGCGCGGGTCCTCTACCGGGGGAAAGGCACGTGTCGGAGGCCGGCGGGGAAGACGGCGAAGCCCGACGACGGCGACGGCGGCGCCGGCTCTCGCGGCGGCCCGAGTGAGAACCAGAGGGAGTATTTTATTTAGGAGGTTTGGACGCGGACAGAGACGGAGACGCAGCGTCGAGCCTCCGTGCTTCACGTTCAAAAAGCAGACTCTGCTCCGGCGGAGGCCGAGCATCAGAACTCTTCTCCTGAGGCTGAACGAGGCTGCGCGTCCAAACGGGCGCTTTGTGACGCGTCAGCGCTGCCTGGAGGAGAGCAGCTGTAAATATACAAAGACGCAGCACTTCGGTATTAGACTTTAAATCAATCGGTCCTTTCCTGCGTCCCGCTGAAGCGGTCGGACGAGGAACTGTGTTTTTGTATGTGGTGGGTTTTGTTGCTATGAAAGTTAAAAAGCGGCGAGGTGATTTAAATACATTTGTCCGATGAGGATAATGGATGTTTGGTGTTTCGAGTGATTGACTCGATTTAATTGGTTGTTTGGTGTTTTTTTTGCACCTGCCGTGTTCACGTTGAACATTTTCCATCTTCTTAAAAGCTTTTGTGATTTTCTTCCATTCCATAGAAAACACCAAGCGAAGCTGAACTCTTATTTATTTCCCTCTGCTTCATTTTTTCTTCTTTCTGTCACTTTCCTGCCTCCAGCTCTCGATGTAGTTCTGAACAGTAAAAGTATTGAGAAGGACCCGTTGACTGTGGACTTTCTGTTCATTACAGCAAAAACCTTCCACGTGTCTTGTAACTCAGAGAGATTCACATTAAGTATAAAAACACGTGTGAAATTCATCTTGCAATAGAGAACAAATCATTTCTGCTGTTTATCAATCAAATCTAAGAACGAGACGTTTCTTTCTACCAAACAAGCACTGAACATTGAACCCGCTGACATGATGAGCTGCAGCTCGTTGGTTCAAAATGTGGTGGATTAGAAACCTCGACGTCCAAATCAATTATTTCTCTGTTCACACGCACGTTTAACATCATTTAAGCTTCCCACGGTCTCTCCTTCACAGTGTGACATTTCAAAAGACTGAAATAGGAATCTGTCTGCAGAGGAGATCACTGCGTTCCATGAGTGTGTGTGTGTCAGGCAGCTCTATTTAGAGACGCATTCTTGCCTGTAACAAAGCCTCATTGAAGGGAGGACGGGTCGTAATGACGGCGGGTTTCTTCCAGCTATTATGTGACAAGGTGCTGCCATGAATCTGATTGTTACAAATATGAACCACCCAGAACTCAAACCGTCAATGCCCACATTCATGAGCCTGAAGAATCCAGTCCACGGCGGACAAACCCAGATCCTCCAGCAGAGACCAGTCCACCGTGGACAGATTGTAGTAAAATGAGACCTTTTCTAAAGGGACCCTGGTGCTCAGAGACACTATACGTATTTCCTCCATAGGGACCAATCTAATCAACACAAAATGAAAGTTCCTTTTAGTAACCAAAGTACATCAGCTTCACAGTTTATTTTGAGAAAGATGCACTTGAGCGAACCAGAGGAAGAACCTACCTCATTACAGCCCAGACATTCTGATCTAAAGACACTGGAGGAACCGAACGCTCATACTTGACTTTGAAAAAGCTTCACAAAGTCAAACCTCCAGCAGGATTATAGCGTGTTCTGTCAATGCAGCAACGCGACTCCAACATTTAATGAAGATGCTCTGAACAGAGGAGGAGATCTGCTGTGAGGTCGTGTGGCCCTACAAACATTATGTGGGCCGGATAATTAACAGCCTCCTGCTATCAGATCAGAGATCCCAGCGGCTCCATCATAAACCCGCTGATCGTAAACGGCAGCACGGACCTCCGTATCGCCTCTGCATGCAGAACACCAAGGAGAATGATCTTTTTGTCCAATCATAAGTTTACTTTGAAAAAACGGCATGTTGACGGATTTTAGTTGGAAAGATAAGAGTCACTTTTTCATGAAATATTTGAACCATTGTAGGTTACGTTGGCCAGTCGGGTTATCACTCGCTATATTGTTCAATTAAATTCATGTTGGAGCTGACGTCAAGTCCTCGAGTATCGCTCCTCGTGTGCTATAGTAATCATTAATATGAATTGAGTAATATTTCATTCGATGGTCATTAATAAAACAGTGTTAGATATTGCTTCTTTCTAACAGATTTCTGTTTTTGAATTCAAATTACAAAATGTTAAACACGCACGTGTGACTGTATAACTCACTTTCTACCAGTTACACATAAAACATTCAAATTCACAGATTGCGTTGACTTGTCACACAGCGCACAACTTCCTGTGCACATTCACATCTGTTTCTGTCCTCCACAGACGTTGGGGTGGATTGAAATGTGACCGCAGCGTCTGCATCTATAAGATGTTTGTCTCACTCCGACTCACTTTGAAGCTCTTATTAGGGGTTAATTCAGCCTGCGAATAAGCAACAAACTGCAGTGGATTAATCTCCAAAATGCTGCCAGCCTGTTGGGAGTATTTATGAGATTAATGCGGTTTCACTCGCATTAGGTGCTTAGCTGCATAGAACTCCTAAATATAGACAACAGTGGGAATAATTATGATGAATAAACACACCCAGAGGATGTTGGGCTAATCTGTTGTGCCATGATTACCATTCTAGAGGACAGCCTCACATCACAGGCTCTCAGAAGATGAGAAGGAGTTCATCTCTTTATGTTTGAAAGGTCTGTGTTCATCCAGAGTCTTTCATCAAGGAGCACTTCAAAATATCAGTTTCTAACATGATTTCTTCTGTCTCTCTGCAGCGGACCTATTTTATTCTAATCCTTCTCAAATGAAGAGTTGTTCAGATAAATTATTTTTTCAAGTGCTTTAATTATTATTATTCTGAATATGATAACATTTTCCTTCCTAACATTATATTATAAGATAACCTTATTATATAATAATAAGAAATATTAGGTAAAAAATATTTTGAGAAGAGAGTAAAAAAATATTAGGTCAAAAATATTTGGGAAAAAAAGTCAGAAATGTTATGAAAAAAATGTCGAGTCAAGTAGATTTTAAAAAGAAAGTCGAAAAATGTTAGGTTGAAACATATTTTGAAAAAAAGTCTAGAAATATTAGGTCAAAAATATTTTCAAAGAAAGTCAAAAAATAACAATAAAATAAAAATATTTTGAAAAAAAGACAATAGGTCGTTCTTTTTAAATGTTTGTCGATAAATGTTAAAAAAGTCCAACTACGTTGTGTCAAAAAGGTTGAAGGAAAAAAAATTCAGAAATATTGGGTCAAAAATATTTTGAAAAGAAAGTCAAAAAGTGTTAGGTCGAAACATGGTTTGAAAATATTAGGTGAAAGATAGTTTTGGAAAAAATGGTCAGAAAATGTCATTGGTCGAAAAAATGTTTTGAAAAAAATACGCTATGTCGTGGAAAATAAAAAAATGTTTTGAAGAAAAGTCAAAATATGTTGTGTCAAAAAAGTTGAAGGGAAGAAAGTTAAGAAATATTGGCTCAAAAAAGATTTGAAAAGAAATTCGAAAAATATTGAAAAATGTTTTGAAAAAAAATAAAAGGTGAGTTCCTGCTTTAAGGAGTGTTTTTTGTATTAATGTGTTATCCTTAAGGTTTCTTGTACTAAATTGCAACATTTTATCAGTCTTTCTAAATTTAAATCTGATGTCAATATAAATTTCATGTTGAATCCATAACACTGAACCATAGAGGAAGCACGATCTTTCACTTCCACTTCATTTGCATCCATGGACAAATTCATTAGACACCTATTAGGGGGGGCTGCAAAGTAACAACTCTACATGGACGCCACCAGAGGCTGGTGTTCCAAGTCAATCACAATCACTGCCGCCACGGTGCTTTTTTTCCCCCTGTGCATTTAATCAGTTTTGCTGCGGCTCAAAATCAACCTCTCGTTCCATATTTATAGCCGGGCTGCGTGCTGAAAGGTCCCTTCCTGCCCCATCGTAATTATTCAGTCGCTATAAAACATCAGTAATGCTGTTTGTGGCTCAAGGTCGCAGCCAAGTGTCCCAGGAGTGGAGGCAGTGATGGATCACCGTTTTCCAGATGCTTGAACTCTGCAGGACAGCGACACATTTCAGCTAATCGGGTAGGGAGTCTTTGTTGACACCTCGGAGGGCTCGGAGGACAATTGGCCCAAGAGTTTTCCAGCGTGTGATGCTTTGATGTGGACGCCATCATCCTGTGGGACCGAGGGGACGTTTCCACTTCCTCTAATGAGCTGTTGCTTTTTGGTGGACCCATCTGCCCATACTCAGCACTAATGAATTTCCCTTGAGCTTCTCTCTATCAGCACACGTACAATCACTACATTGTTAACAAGTTGTCAGCACATCGTGGCTCATCCTGGATGCCTCAATATGTACCTTAATTGTTGACTGGGTTCGTATAATATGAGCAGCCTGTGTGTGCTAACCTGTCTAACCTGTCTACTACAAAGTTGTGTTTCCTATTCGTTTACATATTGGTTCTGTTATATAAAAAATACTAATATTAAATGCACCAAAAGCAATTATTTAGGTTCTGCCCAAACACCGTGCTTGGGTTCGAACAAAGTATGTTTGTTGCGTTATTTCAGTCACGGACTTAATCAATAATGTTGATGATTAGTTTCGGGCTTCACGCGACACGAACAGCCGCCTCCTGGGTGAAGCTCCTCCTCCCAACGTGGAGACTTCAATCAGAAACGTGTTTTGGCATTCATGAGAAACAAATGTAATCTGTGGGAAAAGATGTCCGTGCGTCGACAGAAGAGGGTTATGTGCACATGCAAATCAAAATGCTACAAAATGTCAGGCAAAGTTGCAAGAACAGCTTTGATCCAACCTCCAGGGACTCTAATGGAGCCTGTAGGTTCCATCCAGAACCAAAGGACAGAAGAGACTCGGCGCTTTGTTCCAGACTTGAGGCTCGTTATTTCAGATGGTTAGATGCGTCTTTTCCTCGCCGTTGGCTACGCAGCGAACGACGACCCGCCCACTGAGTTCAAAAGTCTCAGGTCGATGTAGTGGGTTCGGTCGGGCTTCAGCTGATTCATTTGTTAAAGTCGATCATTAGCTGGAAGGAGGGCACCTTGGCTCACTCGGTAATACGGAAACATCGCCATGGAGGCCCACGCCTACGCTGCACTGCTGCCCCTGTTTGCTCCGTTAGCATCGTTAGCCGCGAGCCGTTCAGAGCTGCATCCGAGCTCCAACCATCCAACCATCCAACCATCCATCCAATTTGTCACGCAAAAAGAAAATCAGATTTTTTTTCTGAGGAACGTTCATTCATTTTTTTCAAACTCCTCGACAGTACATGGCGCTAAGGAGCGCATCTGTGACCCCATTCGCTGCGTAGACATCCTTCCTCAATACCTCAGGAGTCCTGAGGCTCACGGCTACGCAATTATATATATGTGTGTATATTTATATATCATATATATAAGGTTATTCTTTGGTTTTAGTTTTATTTAATAATTTAATATTTTTTATCTTATTATATTGTATATAATGTGTATCTTTTAATTCTATTTTCTTCCCTGTACATGCTGCTGTGACACCAACATTTCCCTCTTGAGGGATCAATAAAGTATCTTTCTATCTATATATATATATATATATATATATATATATATATATATATGTATATGATATATATCTGACATGAAATAATTAGGCAAAATATCTCAATGGATCAGATCAGAGTTGTTATACAGTCGAATGTTTTTCTAAAGAAGATGAAGAGGAGCAGCTGAACTGGGTTACACTCACAGGTGTATATCTAATATTCACTCATATTGGATGGAAGAAACCAATGTTTAAACTCAATGTTTACTGAGGTGAACATTTGTATTAAATCACACTGTATAAGCTTCATAATGGTTTCATAAAGTAGGAGGATGGATACAGTAACAACAATTAAACAGTTTTCATGGATAGTAACACATTCCACACACACACACACACCTACCGGTTATCTTGTTGCATCGAGGTCAGTGTGTCCTCGTACAGTCAAATGCACAAACATCACTATAAATGAAATTGAAAATGCACCTGAACCTCATCAGCGTCTCTACAACCCGACTAACCTCATAGTATTTTATGGATGTAATTTAGTGATATAATGAGCCTACATACCGTAAGAGAGGTGACATCATTAATGATTAACATCATAGTATTTAATATCTATGATACAGTAATCAATCAACTTTGCCCACAAATGACTAACCAGCTTCTGATCTGCATCACCTCATTGTTGGTTGTTTTGGTCATGTGTCGTTGAAAGCAAAGTCAAAGGTTGAAGCACTTTATTTGTTGTACTTTTCTGTTTGATGGAACGTGTGTTGGAGGCTTTGAATGATGAAAAAATATTTCTCCCCAACTAATCTTGTGTCATTTATCATACATAAATCAACATAAATCATTAAGTGCTCTTAAGAATACAATTATTAAAAATATAGGTTGAATCAGTTGAATACCATCCAAATGTCAATCAACCTACATTGGTCAAATCTCAAACACAGGTCTATTAATTAGGCTTTATTGTGGCACATAGACCGACATTGAGGCACAACAATAGTTTTCTGGTTGCTCCAGAAGGACCTAACAAGTCATGATCGGATGAACATGAATCAGAAGAAGTTGAGGCATTGCAATTCTTTAGCATAGCGCCCAGAAATCCACTAGAATGCAGGAAGAAACATCTACTCAAACCAAACTGTCCTGGCGAGGGACCTTCAGCTGTGTCTTTGCTTCACAGAATGTAACCAATGTTGTCCATCTCCAGTAGGCCATCAGTGGGGCCTCACAGACTGCAGGGCGCAACGTGGCTACAACGCCAAATCAATTCCAATTCCCTGATATTGGAGTCACCAACATTTCGGTCACCCCCGAAAAAATCTCCCTCCAAGGTTTTTGAAAAGTTGGCAGCTCTGCAGATGTGGTGTTAATTACTCATCAAGCATCTTCTTTAATCTGAGAGCCAAACAGTTGCACTGAATTAACCTTCCTCATTTAGTTTAATATCATTTATGATTCTCGAGTGTTTTTACTTGTCAGCCCACACGAATAATAAACCGTTCCTCCTCCATTTTTCCTGGAAAGCAGGAGAATCCCTGCTGAATGCACGCCGAGAAGAAAGCAACACAG